ATAAAGTTCTGTATTTTGAGAGGAGAGAAAAGAATGAATTAACTTAGGAAGGGGGGAAAGGATGCATTTAAAGAGATGCTTGAATGTAGCAATGTTGGGGGATAGGAAATTCTAGAGAAAATGGGTGCATACAATGCATAAATCACGGCATATGACAGCTCCTGGCCAATCTTGTCTGGGCTCAGAAACTTCCAGTAGCTATGATTAGGTCTAGTTAATACTTTGATGGGAAACTATCAAAGTTTCCAGGCACTGCAAAATAAGCTAGATTGGGAAATTGGAAAAAAACATTCCAGATGAAAACAGTGGCAAATGAGTTGTCCATCTTGTACCTCTCAATATCGAACATCTAGTAAAATAATTTAAAGATTTGGACAACTGATATTCAATTCCCTTTTTCATTTACTAATTACGGAGAAGGTTTGGAACTTCTGAACTCGTGTTTACAGACTGTTTGGTGATGGCTGAGTTGAAATTTAATCAAAACAAGTCTCGATTCTTTGAAGGGAAGTAAAATTTACTTTTGAATGTTTTGAAGGTGGTCCAAAAATAGGGTTATGTATATTTCATAGTGGTCCAGATATGACCTAAAAACATTGGGACTATAGACTGTTTCCTCTGTTGTTTTCTAAGGTTTTATTCCTGGTACATTTCCTAGTACAAATAAATGTTTATTTTAAAAAAATTCTGAGTGTCGGCTATATTTTAGAGTGTTTCTTGATTAAGAATTGACATCCAAAGTAGATAGAAAATGACAGATTTGGAAATGACGTAGTGGCTTTGTTTTTGGGGGGAATTCTTTCAAGTAATTCTTGAATTACTTTTGTAATTCTTTGAATTACTTGAATTACTTTCAAGTAATTCTTGCATTACTTTCTCAAGTAATTGAGAAAGCTGAAATTACAATTGTAGCATAGTTGCTTTTAAGCAGCTCACCTTGACCTTCCAGCTGTACCCAATATGGAGCATTGTCACTGTAAATCTGCTATCCACACTATATATCTAGGGTGGCAGTATAATGTTTTTTGAAAAGGTTTCTGGAACATGGATTTGTGACACACATATTGCACCAGCTAAATGGGTTGCCCTTGGGTCCCCTGACTCAATTTAAAAAGCCAGTTTGAAATAGAAAAAAACCAATTATTTTAAACCCGCTTCCTTAAGAGAAAACTTCTACCTGTTTCACTGTCCACTTGTGAGAACAGGCTGGTTTGACAGGTTGGTTGGAAGGGCTGAAGAACAGATGTAATAGCTGTACTGAAAGTAATAGAACCTTATACAAATTTGGTCTTATGGGAAAAAAAGAATTAAGTGATAATTGAAAGTATGTATTAGAGCAATCTCAAATGGCTGAAAAAGAAAAATACAATGGAAAAGATCAAAAGTAGGGAAAGAAAGTGAGATTCAGAACACAACATGCAGTGAATATAAATGGGGAACTAGCATAATAAACATTTGAGTTCTAAAGAGTTGACTCTCTCCCTTCAGTCTGGAGGGTTATAATTACTGGCTTTCTTTTAAAATCCAGTGTGAATTGGTATTCATGGTGGACGTCATTCAGGGATTAAAATAGGATAGACGGTTCTTGGCAATTTTTGATTCTGTCATCCCTCTAGTGATTCAACTATAGTTTAATAATCAGTATTCTTCTGATAGTTCATTTTTCTTCTCTTGTATCTTTAGGTTTTTCATCCTCTTGGCATTGAAAAGAAACCACGCACCTGGTGGTCCCAAAGGTGCTTTTTCAATATTTCAACCATTCCCCACCATCCTGTCAGAGGTGAAGAAGCTTCTTGGATGAGAAGCAAAGTCTTCAAAGAAAAACCAGAAAGTCCAGTTGCCTCTTGAAAAAGAACCTTTGGGACAAATCATGACCTAAGAATCTCAATAGACATGCACCTGGTCACCACGTATGGCCAGAATAAAATGTAGTTATCATAAGGAATAAGGGCTGGCATCTCCTATCCTTCTATTTTATTCCTCCCCATCTGTTCTTGCTTTGTTGACTTCATAAAAGGAACATATAAGTCCAATAAACCTCAACCTATTTTGCAGATATCAGTTTCAAATAGTTAAGTATGTCAATGTATCTTCATTGTGATAGCAGCTGTGGATTAAGCTCAGATGGCTTGACTTTCTAGGCTGTGGGAGTTGGTGGTAGCATTCATGGGATTTGTTCTAAAAGATTTGCCCTGTGGCAATGTTAGTACACTCACTTGTTCTCTTTTCTCTCGAGAGAGAGAGACAGCCTTCTGCTTGGTCTTTTGATCTGCCTTTTAATGCAGGTTTCTGGCTTTTTGTTACTTGGAACTTTTACAATACAACTGTCAGTAGAGCCTTGGCAGCTAGGTTGCTAATTAGAGCTACTTCTGTGATTTACTTTGGGCTTTAGTAAGTGTAGAGGCATAAGCTCAGTGGATTAGACAATAACTCAGAAATGGGTTTAATTCACAAGGTTGTGCATCCTTACTGTAGCACATTTCCCTAGGGTATGATTCTATTCTTCTCTTTTTATAGAAAACCTGTGTCGGAACCATATATGCACCTTTTATATGATTATCAACAATTTGAAGTTACAGCATCACTTACAATTGGTCTTTGCACATATTGTATGACTACTGCAGCATACCCATGCTCACATGATCAAAATTTGGATCCTTAGCAACTGGCATGTATTTAACGTTACAGGGTCATGTGATCACCATATGCAACCTTCCCAGCTGGCTAAAGTTAATAGATTCGTTTAACGACTATAAGTTTTATTTAACAGCTACAGTGGTTCAACCATGGCAAAAAAAGTTATAAAATTGGGTGCAATTCAGTTAGTAACCATGTTGCTTAGCAATGGAAATTCTGGTCCCAATTGTGATCGTAAGTCGAGGACTACTTGTGTTGTATCCCTGGAACCATATCTAGAACTTGTTGACATGTTCTTGTGACACTAGTGGTGCTATAAGCCTGAACAGATCCCTTCCTAGAGCCAAGGTGGTACAGTGGTTAGAGTGCAGTACTCCAGGCTACTTCAGCTGACTGCTAGCTGCAGTTTGGCAGTTCAAATCTCACTGGCTCAAGATTTGCTCAGTCTTCCATCCTTCTGAGGTGGGTAAAGTGAGGACCCAGATTGTTGGGGGCAATAGTCTGACTCTAAACCACTTAGAGAGGGCTGTAAAAGCACTATGAAGTGGTATATAAGTCTGAGTGCTATTGCTATTGCTGTTCCTCAGAAAGATTTTGATCCATCAGTCTTTCCAGTGTTCTCTGAAGACTTGGCCCTTCAGAAAGATCTTAGATGTGTCTGGGATCAGTTTCTGAGAACTTGTGCTTTGGTTTTGCACTGTATTTTTTGAGCATGCTAATTGAGGTGGGAACATAATTATGGCAGAATTAATAACAGGTAATTTAATAATGTCGTGCTTAAATTTAATATGCAGTGGTTCTTAGACAAAGTAAGACGACTCAAAATTGCCTCAGAGAAAAATGCCTGAAAAATATCTTTGTTATTAGAGCAACACCAATTGTGGGATAATAAATAGCTTGCTCTGAGAATTGTGTGTCTGCCTCACACATTGCTTCATTTTCTTTAGATATAAAAATGCAGAGAAGGATTGGGAATGGTAGAGGAATTCCATTATCAGCATGATCGTAATTTAGAGCAATCATTTTTACAGCCGAGATATTGTGGTGGGTCAGGCTTACAAGTGATAACATCCCATCTGATTAGAATTTAATTTTCTTTCTTTCTTTTTGTAGTGAAGGGCAAACCGAAAGTACTAAACAAGCCCTTCCATCCTATTATTAAACATTTAACCAAAATACCATTGGAAAAAAAATGTGCCAGCTGCAGAAAATCCAGTTGTGAAATCTAAAATGTACATTTTGAGAGTCAGCTTACCAGTGGGTGGTGCATTTTTCATACTATTTTTGTTTATAATTTGATGGTGGTCTTATCTGTGGACAGGCTTAGAGGCATGTATATGTGGTACTCTACTAAATATAACTTTGATGTGGTAAACCAGAGTGTTTAAAGTAAAAGAAATCACCTTTTTTGTGGCTAAGACTACTCGCACAGTTTATGAGAGCACTAAAACTTCCTCCTCTTTGTCTTTCATTGCTAACCAACCACTAATCTCTTTAGATTAAAAACAACTCAGACAAGCAAAATTGCCAGCATTTTTAAAACAATAGCCCACAGTGGACTGCAGGATTCTAACTACTAAATAAAAGATTGGGTATAATTGGCCAGCAGTGTGAGCATACATGTCTGAGACTCGGATTTTGTCTTCAGTTCGAAGGGCTCATACGACTTTTATGATGTGTGGATTTTGAAATGCAGCAGAAAGAATGGAGAAAGCAAAACTAGCCAGAGCTGCAACCTTGCTGTGCGAAAAAAAGAATGTGCCACTTCAGTTGAAGTTGAGTTAAGCTTCCCATTCATGTTGCATTTGGGAAAGCTTCAAACAGGAGGATTAAATGCGCATGAATAATGAACAGGGAAAACTGTACATTGCAGGCACATATGTGCGCACTGGGAACTTGTTACCAATGGCTACTTCTGGTGAATTGCCATGGTGTAAAGTTGTCCTGCTGAATCATTGTGGGGAAATATTGTCTGTGTGTACCTGTGTGTGTGTGTGCAGGGAGAAATACACTGTGTGGCCAATTTAGGTTAGATACTGGCTTTGGCCTTTCTGCAGAGCTGCTGAAGATCTAGAGGGAATGCCTATTGTAGCCTTGCAATTCAATATTTTTTTAAACTGGAGAGGCAAGATGTTTTTCAAGAAAAGAAATGGAAAGGAAAAAAACCCAATGGGAACAAAGCAATTGTTTTCTGTAAGGGGAAAAATAGAAGAGATCTGACATGCTTGGTGTCCAAGCTTGGTTGAACCGATGTCTGAGGATCAGTGTTGGTTTTCAGTTTTACTATACCACCTGAATTATGCAGGTATGGGGTTACCTGTTGATTTACCTTACCTGTTTTTCTTTCCTTGTGTGTTTCTTAGATTCCTGGGCCTTCTGGTGACAAGGAGAACTTGATTTCAAGCCATCTGCATGTTTGATGCTCCCTCTCTGCTATGGAATCCTGGCCTACGCTGGGCTGGCTCCTCTTCCTTAGCTTAATTGCTGACTGCCTGAAGGGAACGCGGGCGCGGGACTTTACAGTGAAAGATATTGTGTACCTTCATCCTTCAAGTAAGATTTGTGAAGCAGGCCATAACCTATACAATTACTATGGAAAGCTCAAAAAATAGAACCGGTAGATAGCACAAATAGGATAGCACAAATGCCCTCAGATTGCTAGCACATAGCAAAGAGATGTTGCAAGTTGTATCTATGAAGTACTGGGTTTTGCATCAAAGCTTCTTTCTGTCTGTGGCCTGTCCATTGGAGAAGCCAAAGGAGCTTCTGTCCCATTATTGCTCTTGGACAGAAGCTCCTTCGGGCTATGTTATGGGTAATGTTCTCTGGTTTGACTTGCCAAAATGTATTCTCGGCCACACTTGCTAATAAGGACTTTGATCAATCATCTTGATGAGGCAAATGGTACATTCTCTGCAGCAATTGCTAGATTTTTGCAAGCAATCTAGAGGAATCTCCTCGTGTAACAGCTTTTGTGAGAGGTCTGAGAAAGAGTGGCTGGATTTCATTGACAAAGAGCTTGTTGAAATTCAGCAATTTCCTTCAGCATCTTTGGACAAAGTTTGCCCTATGTTGTTGAGAAAGTCCAAAATGCTGCAAAACTGTGTGACGTAAACAACCTGGACACTGAGGTAAGTGAGGTGGTCACATATCTTTGGAAGAAACTTTGAGACAGCATCTCGTATGTATGTATGTATGAGTGGTGGGATGCAGGCAGTACGCCCCGGTACGGGTGTACCGGTGCCTGCACGGAGCACCGAGTACCGTTCCGTTCCGGTGCTCTGAATGGCTCGCCTGCCTGCTCCCTACCTGTATTTGAGCTCTTCAGCGCTTCTGGGCATGCACACGGAGCACATGGCGCCTGCGCGATGCTCTGCCGAGCAGCTGGAGCATTGCGGAGCCTTGCGGAGGCGTTGCAAGAGGTAAGGATGCATGCGTGCGATGCATGCATTCATGTGGTGGATGCCGGAACCCACCACTGGTATGTATGTATGTGTGTATACACACGCACACACACACAATTTAAAACAGTGCAGCACAGCGAAGTCGTAATGACCATACAATCACATTATATACAAGTAATCTCGTCCAATAGCTATTAGTCTACTTAATACATTATCTATCCTTCTAGCCAATCACATTATTTATAATTTTTTCCAGTCTTGTCACCTTGTCTTATACCAATAATAAAATCTATTCCAAACTTCATTATATTCTGATTTCCTTTTATTTTTTAATTTGAGGGTGAGCCTATCTGCTTCCGCACAGGCCAGAATTTTCTTGGAGCGCCACTTTTGTTGAAGCAAAGCAGGTCCCTGATTTTGCGGAATGCTCTGAAAAACAGGCTAGTCTATGCAGAAAGTAAACATTGTAGCTTCCTAAAATATTAAAGAAGAGTATAATTAGGGGATGTGCACTTCTTCCCAAGTGCTGTTTAGAGCTGTTGTATTGATGGTGGCCTTGGGCAGAAGAAATTTTGCAGGAATTTTTGCAGGAAAACCCTATCTTAGTAGCTAGATAGGGTTCTTGATGTTAGTTAAATTGAATTTATAACAGAATAACAGAGTTGGAAGGGACCTTGGAGGTCTTCTAGTCCAAGCCACTGCCCAATTAGGAAACCCATTTTAGACAAATAGCTGTCCAATCTCTTCTGAAAAAACTCCAGTGTTGGAGTACCCACAACTTCTGAAAGCAAGCCATTCCACTGATTAATTGTTTTAACTGTCAGGAATTTTTCCTTAGTTCTAAGTAGGTTCTTTGATTAGTTTCCTTTCATTGTTTCTTGTCCTGCCTTAGAGATATGTTAATACTATAAATACTTGTTAATTTAAACAACTTTTATTCAGGTTGGTTTCAACTTGTTTAAGTATACTACTGTTTAAACTAACCACATTTTACTGCTCTTACAGTGAAGAAATAGTAAACTCTTTAATAAAACTTAGATAGCAAATCTCACTAAGCACCTTCCTCTCGCCCCTACAGAAAAAAAGGTACAAAAAGAGAAAATCCCAAAGGTACTTTTTTAATAGACAAAAAGGGGAAATATTCACAGTTCAGTCTCATTGATGTTATGCTAAATTATGATTTAGCCCTGTGTTTAAACCTGGCTTTTTATTGCAGAGGAAACTTTGTAGAAAAGATAAATATAAGAAACCTAAGATGCGTATATTTGACTATGAACTCTAAGCTGTGCTGTTCATTTTCTGCATGGAACTTGTACCTAATTCTAAATTTAGTGCATGGACTCAGTACTCTGATGATGGATAGGAGAATTTAGAAAAGTCAGGAAATGCTTATTTAAAAGGAGGAATTATTAAGAGATAGAAATATATAATGTGTGTGGAAGGAAACATGGTAGAAGGAAAGCGAATAAACAAGAAACCAGGTATTCTTTCTTATATCCAAACTTTTCTTTATAATGTATAGAGCTCACCTGTATCCTCCTCCCCCCCCTTAATCAGAAAGGGTTGGCTAAAAACTTGGTATTTTCTTTTTGGGTGGGAGAGGTTCTGTTTAGCTGAAGCTTTTCTTTTCTGCAATGCAGATCACAGGTAGGGAAACTTAATTCATACTGTATAGAGCAAGGGTGTCAAACTGGATTTCTTCGAGGGCCGAATCAGCATTGTAGTTCTCTTCCACAGGCGGGGGATGTGTGCATTGGAGGGGGGAGACGGGATGGCTGCCTCCTGCAGCACTCTGACAGCCAAAATGAGGCATGGGGAGGGGTCCACGCACAGCCTCCCTGTGCCTCATTTTTGCCCTCCATAGCCTCCTGCAGCACTCTGCCGGCCAAAAACGGCCCCTTTTTGGCCCTGTTTTCGGCTGGCAGAGTGTTGCAGGAGGCCATGGAGGGTGAAAAAGAGGCCTGGGGGCCCCTTGCATGTGACCCATTTCAGCCGCCAGAGGCACTGCGGGATGGTCCTTTGATATTTCCAGGCCGGCCCGGTGGGCTGGATTTAAGCACTCGTGGACCTAGAGTTTGACACCCCTGATATAGAGGCACAGGAGGGAATAAACAATTCATTCCAGGTTGGAGTTGATCCTGCATGTTATTTGGGGGTATGGAAAGGCACAGAAGTAGATACAAGCTATACAGGTGGCTCTTGACTTACATATGTTTGTTTAGTGACCATTTGAAGTTGCAGCTGGTCTTCACACTTACAACTGTCGCAGCATCCCCACAATCACTTGATCAGAACCCAGGAGCCGGGCAACCAGCATATATTTATGATGGTTGCAGTATCTGAGGGTCACATCTTCGTTATTTGCAACCTTCCAAGCCAAAGTCAATGGGGGAAGCCCGATTTGCTTAATGACCACACAGTTCATTTAACAACTGAAAGTCAAGGACTGCCTGCAAATACAGCATGCAGTTTGGCCCTTAGTCTGGGATTGGCAAAGTTCTTCTTCCCGGTCCTCCAATTCGGCAGAAGAAAGAAGGGACACGGTGGCTAAGACTCTGAGCTTTTTGATCAGAAATGTCGGCAGTTCGGTGGTTTGAACCCTTAGTGCCGTGTAACAGAGTGAGCTCCCGTTACTTGTTCCAGTTTCTGCCAACTTGGCAGTTTGAAAGCATGTAAAAATGCAAAGAGAAAAATAGGGATCACTTTGGTGGGAAGGTAACAGTGTTCCGTGCTCCTTCAGTGTTTAGTCATTCCGGCCACATGGCTATGGAGACGTCTTCGGACAGCGCTGGCTCTTCGGCTTTGAAACGGAGATGAACATCACTTCCTAGAGTCGGGAATGACTAGCACATATGTGCGAAGGGAACCTTTACCTTTAAAGAAGGGACAGGAAACAAATATTATCGCCATGCAGATCTACTCTAATTTGTGCACATAATATTCATGCTATCTATTTGGCTATTAACTATAATTTCTATCTTCTTTAGTCATCATGACTCTATTTGTCTCATTTTCCCTCATGGTTTTGTTGATATCCTTAATTCTCCCACATGATGCCAAACAAGGTTAAGGCCAGTTTTCATAGACAAGTCAAATATCTACAACTTTCTTTTCTTCTTTCTCTCTTTCTCTTTCTCTCTCTCTCCCCTTCCCTCCCTCCCTCCCTCCCTCCCTCCCCCCCCCCCCCCCCCCCCCCCCCCCCCCCCCCCCC